CGTTTCTAACAATGAAACAAGTGACGTGTGCCCACGTGGGGACATGTGAACTGGTTTCATACATGCCGTAACATTAGCTATTAGATATTAGATATTAGATTGCGTAATAATATAAAAGAAGCGTGGGCAGTGTGTACATATGTATACATATGTATACGAAAGTTTGCTTACAAGTAACTAACGATAAATGCGAATTGTTAAAGAGATTCTCTTCGTAATAATCGTCATAATAATTACTATACTTGACGACTATTATTACTAATTACTGACTTTGCAGGGATCCACGAAGGAGGACGAAGACAAGAAAAATATAAAATTAGCAAAGATAGACGGTAAGAGTCGCGGACTCTAGATCAACCGAGAACAGATTTGCTTGGTTGAGCATCTTCGAGAAGATAAAAGAGGAAAAGAAGGATGGATACACGGCGTTGAAATAAAGACAGAAAGAAAAAGTGAGAGAGCAGGGGGTAGATAACCGAAGGAGAATGAAAAAGAAACATAAAAGTATCGAGAGAGAGAGAGAGAGAGAGAGAGAGAGAGAGAGAGGGAGGGAAGGGAAGATTAAAAAAAAGGATCCTTCATCAAACCCGAATGCAGTAGGGTCGGAGGAATAAATAAAAGAAAAGGAAGTGAGTGGTGGAAGCATCTACGGGACGGAGTGAAGGAGAAAGGAGGAAAGAAAAAGTGAGAGAGCAGGGGGTAGATAACCGAAGGAGAATGAAAAAGAAACATAAAAGTATCGAGAGAGAGAGAGAGAGAGAGAGAGAGTGAGAGAGAGGGAGGGATAGGAGCAATGGCAGAGTGAGAGAGAGAGGGGAAGGTATTAGAGTGACGACCTTGTGAAGAACCTTGCAAGGCCGAGAAGACTGTTAGCTACCTTTGGATTGAAGCCGCCAGCGTCTCGGGCTGCTGCACCAATGGCTGTACCGGATCTCATTCGAGATGCGATACGGAGAAAGTTCATCACGTATTATTTTCCGTCAATTCGCTTGATACGTCACGTGTACGATATATCTGGGATATCGGATGGACGTACGTAAAAAAAAAAACGGCCGTTTTTTGTTGAAATGCAGAAAAGTGCACGGAGACTAAGTGCAGGGTGCAGCGGTGAATTTATACGCGTGAATTGCAGGAGGGAATGAAGATGGTGGCTGTGGAGCTGTGTAAAAAAAATCTCGATAGCTGAATTTACTGGCAGGAGAGCCGTGCGTACCGGTTCCTTTTTGTCGGAGTAACGTTTATCGGCGTCTTCTACGTGGGCAGAGTCGGGCTGCATAAATTGCACTGACTAAAGTCTCCCCGATCGCTCGATAAGAGAGGAGGACGAGCAAACGAATAAATCGTCCCGGCTTCTAGCGGCGTTGAGCGGCGCGACGCTTCGAGCGCTAGATCGGTATCCAATGCAGTCTGGAATTCTCGAAAGGTCTCAAGAAGAGAAGAGGAGAGGAGAGGGAGGACTGAAGAGGAATCAAAGAAAATAGTGAAGGGAGAAAAAATTAAGTTTTGCTTCTCTTTAGAATCGCACCCTGTATATGTATAAGACCGTATCGGCAATCCTGATCGGCGTCGTTTTGTTATCGCACGGTGACGTAGACAAGGCCGTTGGACGTCCTCTGACAATAATCCCGGCTGATTAAACCGATCGGTACCCTGTTCAGACAGAAAAAATATATATATTTGTGAAATTCAATAGCATTCGAGTAAGTCAGTCAAGCGTAACTCTTTTAATGATTGATACGTGTATTCAATATAATAACTCAATAATTTAATAGCACTTGCCAGAGATAAGCATTGAGTTGCAACTCGGTTAAGGAAATTTTTATTGAAAAAAAAAAAAAAAATATAAGAATCTTACTGTAGAGTGTATGATATTAGCATTTTGTAAAAAAGACACAATTTTTTTGTTATTAATTTTTGAAACTAACGGATATCCAATCAATCTGATCAAATTAATCGAAGAAGATCGTTCTTTAAAAATTACCATAACAAGTATCAGAGCCAGTTCTCCTCGAGTAGAAACGTTCTGTATCCGGCTAATCGTTACGCAACATTTCGTAGGCTGCTCCTTATTGGATGCTGGATGCGTCTTTGACTGCCCGGATGCTTCAGCAGAGGAGAAGACAAGTCTCGGGAGCATGGGAGAACAGAAGTAAGAGAACGTCCTTGCAAGGCCACAACGACGACGTCGGACTACGGTGCTGTAGGAATGGGCGGCAACGCCCGAGAGAGAGAGAGAGAGAGAGAGAGAGGGAGTGAGGTAGCGAGTCTCTCCTCTGCTCAGCAATCCTCTCTCACTCCCTCCCTAGCACCATAGCAACGTAGCTGAGCAGCCTAGCATCTCGCGTGATCCTAGAGGCCTGTCATCTCAGCAATACCCTATCCGGATATTGACAGAGAATACCACATTCCAAGCATGGAAGAGCGAAAGAATTGAATTGGCAGATAAGCGCGACAATTGAAAGAGCGTTCAGTTTTTCATAGAATTGTCTATCAGATTATTAAAAAAAAATAATAATTAAGAGAATCTTAATAAGAGTTATTGGATAAATTAAAATATTATAATAAATTACAAGATAAAAATTATCTTGATTTACTGTCAAAATCAGCCGCATTCAGACGGCTGTAAATGTGCAACGTGAACATAACTATATTTACACCGTAGAAAAGATCTGTATGATATTGCTCAATGAAATGGCGGTAAGAAAAGTGGCAAAGAAAAATTGTAGCCGAGCCCGGATAAGTGGGTGCAATAAATGCACAACGCAATGCAATGCAGTAAACGGCAAACGGCCCACTTGGTAAAGTCCTATCTCTGTGCAAGTCGCCATTTCGATTTTGCACGTGTGGGCAGCCGGGCTCAATCAACCAAGCTGCCTTTCCTTGCATTTAATGCATTTCTCGACTCACTTGCAAGTTACCTGTACGTCCTGCTACGTCCTGCTACTACCTGCTCTGTCTTGCCCTGTCTTGCCCTGTCTACCGTGTTTATCATGTCTGCCTTAGTATGCCTTATAGCTGCCTACATCCCGCTACTTCACGCTATTCAAATCCTACCCGTGTTATAAATAGACAAACTGGTATTTAACGCGAAGGATTAATATTTCATGGGTTTGCCAAGAATCGAGCTGCACCCTGACTCCTTCGTGCACCTTTGTCAGAGAGTGGATTTCCTTGCGGCGTCCTTATGTCATTTTTCACGTACGGCTGCGTCTTTTTATTTGAAAGAAAAAAAAAAAAACAAGTATGGAATATATATGATATTGTATAATGGTAGAGTTAAGAGGACTAGGTTATGATGGGGAATTTTTATATAGCTTCTTTTTTTAATTCTTTTTTCTTTCCAAGCAACATCGTTGTGCCTGTGGAATTCGCCGACGAAATTTACGATGTCACGCCCACGCTGACTATGCCGAGCAAAGAGAGTGCCAGTGCAAAACGTAGAAGCCACCTTCAGACAAATTTATTATCCTGCCCTGAGAAACTCTACGTATTTATTTGTCGACTCCATCCAGCCAGCTAGAGTCCATACCTACCGCGGGAACCAGCAAGAAGATCCTTTGGCTACCTAAATGGCATACCTAAAAAGACAAGAAATATAACTGTAGGACATTTTGCTTGTAGGACGCTCAAAATCCCTTATACACTTTCACACGAGATAAGTGGATCCTCATGTTCGAGAAAAGTCAGTCTAGCGAAAGCTATTTTGTTTTATTTAAAAAAAATATATTTCAAGTCCAGTCATAAATTCTCTACAACTATTTTTTCATGTTCACAAGAAAAACCTCTTGGACTCTGTTAAACCTATTTACGAGCGAGCTGACTAATAAAAATTACCGCAATTTTTTCACATTTTTACAAAAGCTCTAATTTTTTCAATAAATTCCTTACCCACCTCGTGCCACGTAATTGCCTTGAAGAGGCTATATGTATAACAAACAACTGGAGTTGGTGTAAGTCGATTAAAATTACTAGCTTTAGTCATTTCTATTCCAAGAGAGACTCTTCCTGATACTCATCTTCTCTTTGAGCTAAATAGCCAAGTAGCCAAGTAGCCAAGTAGCCGCGCTCCGACACACTATATAATTACGACACGTAACGAAAGTGTTACGCTGAAGTGTGGCTGAATGGCGAAGGCTTCCAGCAACCGGTATCACCGGAATCACACAAGTATTGTCGCATTTTCATTTTCATTTTCATTTTCATTTCCCCACTAGGATTCACACTACTTGCTACATCAATAATCCTGATAAGTATTTATTTACATATTACAGTTTTAATTAGTCTCTTATTCCTTAAACCTAACCTCAGTAACATACCTTGTCAATGAACTATCAAGGAGCATTGCATTGCATTGCATTGCATTGCCCAATAAGGTTAGGTTGCCGAATGAAATCCATTGTGAGCTAATCATCCATGGACAATGAAGCGTGGCCCTTGATCAATTGGCATTGCAACACATATGCCTTCATTCGAATGATTTGACTTGTAGGACGGATCGATTTTGATGGCTGGAATAAAAATCCACTCAAGAGTATACGAAGCGGAACTTATTCCAATCGTTTGTGCCACGATTATCTAATGGATCGTGAATTTAAGGTTATGTAATACTTACTGGCCATATTGAAATGCATCATTCAATTACGATGACCTCGTCACTCTGGTTCGTCCATGGAACGTCTTTTCTTTCTTTTTTTTTCTCTTTTTATTACACTTTCCTTTACTCTTGGGAAATTGTTTTGCCACGAAGCACGTAGGTATGTGCAAACAGCATCGGTATATCGGTATGACGGTATGACGGTATGACGTAGCTCAGGTCGTTCTGTTTTATGAAAATAAAATGAAGTGGCAACTCTCTATAGTCGTATACACTCTGGCAGTTTGTATAAAGGCTGACTTAAGGGGGCTAATTAGATAGAAATTAATTTGAAAGTAATTGAATCTAAGAAAATAAATGAGAAATCAATAGTACAGTGTGACCGTTTAAAATTGAATGAGAAATTCTAATTCTCACGTAACTATGCGCACAAGAGGCATAACTCTTGAGTTTATCTTATCAGCAGTTAGAGCCATTAAAATTACTCTAAGCATTTATACAGCATCTGCTACGTATACTGGATACTCGATATCACGCACGGAGTCGGAATCAATGAAGACCATTTGTCGGTAAGGAATATAAATAATGATACGAGGCTAAAGCCAATTATAAGATTATAACCTGTTTTCCAGGAAGAAGCGTCGCGGCGCATTAATCGAACTCAGGCCAATTGATTTACTCGATCGATCGAAATGCGAACCAGCAGAACGAGATCCTAGAGAAGAAATTCGAGGTATTCCTTTAAGTGAGTGCGATCTTGGCCGCCATCTACCGAACGATCGAAAGATCGAGGAACTTGAAGGATCGTTCAGTCAACTGCGAATCTCGAATTTGACGATGCAAATCCAAACGCACAGTAATATATACTATAATTGTCAGATATACCTATGGGTAAGTACAGAGAGAATTATCAGAGGGAGCGACTAGATCTGCCGTGACTTTTAGGCATCCCGTGTAACCAGCCAGCCAGCCAGCCAGCCAGTCAGTCAGGCATTCAGGCATTTAGTAAGTCAGTCAGTCAGCCAGTCAGCCAGTCAGCCAGTCAACAAGGCAGGATCTCGCGAGAGTGCCCGATCTATAATTAAGATCGCTCGGTGATCTGTGGCTTGACTGGAGACAGCGAACGACGACCACTGGATCCTGTAACGTCGCGCGTGTGGTCTCCTCCCTGAGTCCGACGTCTTGGATCGTGTTACGCAGCCTTTACCACCGAGGACGTTCATTTTTACTTATCCTTTTATTACTTTATTATTTATTATTTTTATATCAAGCATTAGTCGATTCTACTCGTCTAATCGTCTATAAATATATAGAGTTTATATAGAAGTCAGTTAGATCCCGAAGTATAAAAGATTTTCCTAGTAAGAACCGGCGCGATCTTTATACACTCTTTAAGCTTACTATTATTTAACGTTTCTCTTTAGTTTGATAAACGGCGATACTGGGAATCGCTATACTTTAATATATCAAGGATTAGTCGATTCTACTCGTCTAATCGTCTATAAATATATAGAGTTTACATAGAAGTCAGTTAGATCCCGAAGTATAAAAGATTTTCCTAGTAAGAACCGGCGCGATCTTTATACACTCTTTAAGCTTACTATTATTTAACGTTTCTCTTTAGTTTGATAAACGGCGATACTGGGAATCGCTATACTTTAGAGAATTTTTATATTTATATTTTTGTTGAAATCAAAAATTGTCGAAAAAATTGAGTTAATTATGTTATGAAGAAGAGTTAGCAATTTTTAACAATTTCGAGTTATGTAATAACGAAGCAATTACTATCCTGGTCTAGTTCGTGATTCACTTTCTTATTTGCGAACCTATTAGCTCTTGGTGCAATCCCTCTGATTCGTGATTACGTAATATAATGGAACTCTAATTCTAAACAGTGCAGCCTAATCGTACACAGGACACAATCAATTCGATTGTAAAACCATTTAAGCTCTCTTACAAGCAACTACTCTCCTGTTACCAAGAGCAAGATTGACGTCTCCTTGATGTATTCTTTACTTTCGCGTTTGTTTGTCTCTTTCTTTTAAAAAAGTCATTCTGGACCAACTCCACTCAGTTAGAATTTACATTTAAAAGTAATAAATTTAAGAAATTAGAGAATTTACCAAAAGTTGTTATGTCAAGTCTACTAAAAGCATTCTTTAGTCTAAATAAAATGTAATTTTGTTACTTAAACATATTTTTCAGACGACCTACATGCAAACCCGCCGGTTTTCGTAGCACGAAACAAGTGACGTAACCGCCCACGCCCAAGTCCAACAAACAGCCAGGAAAACGACTCCTGCAGCCATTATACAAGCGACTCCATTGTTAACGTAATTTAATCTCACTCTAGTAGCGTTTATTCGCGTTACCTCATACACGAGCATCAGCTCCATGCGCCATCGAGTAAATTTATAATAATTTTCTTCACGTCAGCTGATGAATTGTTGAATTGCTGAATTGCTGAATTATTGAAGAATTGATGCTGGCTGAATGTAACAGCCATAGTTATAACCATTTGCTGTACGTTAACAACAGCTACCTTCGTGTCTAACAGTTGTGCGTGTGTACATATATATATATATATTTTTATTCAGTGATAGCCGTCAGCTGGTTATAGATTTTCAAGTGGTTAGCAAGCGGTTAGTATTACCTTCTTACTCGGATAATAAGGAGCTCGTGTATTACGGCCATTACGAAGACCGTGTAATCTAGGCGGTCTATTACGGTACAAGCCAAATTTACTTTTTAGAAATATAAAAAAATCTGATGCGTCTGGTAAGAGTATTTTTAATTAAAAGAAAAAAAGGTTTATTCCATTATTTAGTTTGTTCATTGCGTCGTACTTCAGGCAATCTAAGGATGGTCCAAGAAGAGACTTCCGGGTAGCGATCATTAGCCTTCTTACTTCTTATTGTTAGAGTTTTTCCGTCGCATCGGGCGAACATATCTTGTAGTTTGGTTAGCGACTCACAGAAGGAATTAGCGAAGGTGTATGCACTCTGATTTTTTGTTTCTTCATCAAAGTTCCCTCGCTAAACAATGTAACGCCTGTAATTTTCAATATTGCTTCTACGCGAGCGGAACGCGAGATCTTCTTGCGGGATGCTGAATAAAATTGAGCCTGGAAAAACTGCCCGAACAAACGCTCTGAATGCCAGGCGAAATGTCAAGGTTTCGCTCCTTTTCGATCCGAGCGCTTTAAGTGTTCACGTTTCGCGAGACACTATGGAAATAACAAATCAGAAATGTTCGAGGGACTCGAGTGCAACTAAACGACGATTAAATAAATCAGCCTGGAGCACTTTACAACTTACGTATAGCCACCATATTTCAAGAGAGTCTTCGAATTAGTCTTGTCTTCTTACCTTGTTCTTCTTCCTTACCTACAATATCCAGTTAACCAATATCACCAATTTAGAGACCAAATCCTACGTTTGTCTCTAACAGTCTTTACACATTTTATCACAGTACCGACGTAATTAAACTTCTTAATTTCATTCTAAAAATTATTAAGTCAACGGCCGGTAATGTAGAGCAACACGGAATCTGCAAATAGACATTATCTAGTGAGTCTCATTCTAGTCTACCATCCGTATTCTATGTTTTATGTTCTATTCCGCATGTAATACGAATTGTAAGTGTATAGTTCGAGCGCGCAGGATCTTGGGGGGGAAAAAGGAACTGGATTTAATGCATATAATGCAAGCACTGTTGGCGCAACGAGTTTCTGTACGTGTTACCGAAGTCCAGACTTCAGTCCGATGATTGAGCCGTTGCTAGTTGTACTAACCTCCATTACCAGCTACAATCTTGCCAATTTTTACTCCTAGCTCTCTACAGGTAGTATCTATAGCTACTTTTCTTCTCCATTTTACCTTCTCGTTCTTCCTTCCATTACTCGATATCTCATCTTCTTTATTCCCCAATCTTAATTCCACTCTTCTTCTTCTTCTTCTTCTTCTTGTTCCTCTTCTTCCTCTTCACTTGCCATCTTTCTTATAGCTATGCCTTAGCTGTGTCATGTATGGATATAATACTACCATTCCCTTCTTCGTACTTCATGAGCAAGAGTATACTATCGATAAAAAGCGTTTAATAAGAGCCTCTTCAGACCATAAACGATTTGTAATATCCAGGTACACTCTGGCTAAGTTGCAATTAATGGTAATAATGCCAGATTGCTAAAGGCTCGATCGCAAAGTAGCCGAGTTTCCCTTCTATATAAACTAGACCCCATAAATTCCCTTTCCGCCAAAATAAGCCGATATCTCTAGAAGAATGATTTTTCGAGAAAGTACAATGACAATATTTACGAAACAACTCCCACACAGAGGACAGTGTAATTAAGTTAGAGATTTAATACAGCCTGGCAAGTATGATCATCTGATTTATATTAGTAGCCGTAAGATTGGAGAATTCTCATCCAGTTACGAAATTAGTTTTGAACTATCATTGTGTGCGAGTGGCAAACTCAAACTCACTGAACGCCGTTACAGATTCGTTGATGGCTGATGGAGAACGGATGAAAGGTTCTCTCGGTGGAGAATTCTCGATAGGATCGATCGACCGGTTCGGTTCTGAACATGTAATTGGAACGGCGGCGTGCTGCCTGAGTCCTTAATGAGCGCGTTACGCCAAATGAAATTATATTACGTTATACACACACACACACACACACACACACACACACAACGAAATTAGTTTTGAACTGTCATTGTGTGCGAGTGGCAAACTCAAACTCACTGAACGCCGTTACCTGATGGCTGGTGGCTGATGGAGAACGGATGAAAGGTTCTCTCGGTGGAGAATTCTCGAT